GAGGAGGAGGAGGAGGAGGAGGAGACGGAGGAGGAGGAGGAGGAGGAGGAGGAGGAGGAGGATGGGAGACGGAGGAGGAGGAGGAGGGGGAGGAGGGGGAAAGAAGAGGGGGAAAAGGAGGAGGAGGAGGAGTAGAAGAGGAGTAGGGAGGAGGAGGAGGAGGAGGCGGAGGAAGCAGGAGGAGGATGAGGAGGAGGAGGAGGAGGAGGAGAGGGGAGGAGGAGGAGGTGGAGAGAGATGAGGCGAGGAGCAGTAGGAGAGGAGGAGGGAGGAGGAGGAGGAGGAGGAGGAGGAGGAATAGCAGGAGGAGCAGGAGGAGCAGGAGGAGGAGGACAGTGGAGGAGGAGGCGGATGAGGAGGAGGATATGATGAGGAGGCGGAGGAGGAAGAGGAGGAGGCGGAGGAGGCGGAGAGAGCGGAGGGTGAGGCGGAGGAGGAGGATGAGGAGGAAGCAGAGGAGCAGGGGGAGGATGAGGAGGAGGAGGGGGAGCAGGAGGATGAGGAGGAGGAGGAAGAGCGATTATGAATACCAGTATTAAGAATACTATGCTTAATGATTGCAAGACTGTTAGGACTGACAATGACAAGAAGACGCAACACTAATCTTAAGAATGCGAATACGAGGAGGAGGAGAAGGAGGAGGAGGACGACGGACGAGGAAAAGGTGGAGGGAAGAGGAGGAGGAGGGAGAAGGAGGCAGGAGGATGAGGATGAGGAGGAGGAGGAGGAATTGACGTGGTGGCCAGGGTTGGGCGGTGGCGCGCGCGCGCGCGCGTGGCGTGTTCGCGGGCGTCTGCGTGGGTGCGTAGCTGCATGCTGGCGCGCATGCATGCGCGCGCGTGTTTGTGTTTGTGTGCGCGCACCAGACCCCGAAGGAGGCAGTGCCTCCCTTGCGCCTCGACTACCTACCGTTAACTCAGTCAGTGGGGCGCAGGGGCAAGCATCCGTGACTCCCTCCGGGATAATGGCAGGACGAGAGAAGGCCCGGCTGGATGGCTTGGGCACTCGCAAGCCTTCTGCATTCGTCCACACTATCGGTCCCTGCTCTTACCCTTGTTCGTAGTGAGAGGAGTTGACACAACCCCCTTCTCCATGCTCGCCCAATAAGGCGACAAAACCTCCATTAGCACTCCTTTCCTGCTCGCCCGTGCCGCCCAACAAGCCCTGAACAGTGTCGCCGACCGGCATTATCGCCCGTGCGACGGGCTCGAGCAGCCAGCCATCCGAGCCGTCATCTAGCTCCTTGCTGGAAGGGTGGCTGTAGACTCCGCTGACGCGCAGGGGAGCGCCGAGCTGCTTCTCGCGGCCCTGGCCGACGCCGTGCAAGGCGCCAGACCTCCCACAGGCCCAAAAGTGCATCCCAGCACCAGCGACGAAGTCTGCCCCATTTGCAGAGATGTGCCGAGTGGCTGCCAGTCTCGCATCATCCCCTGCGGCCACCAGGCCCATGCTGGCTGCCTCGTCAGGAGCAGGAGCCACCAAGCAGCATGACAGCACGTTTGCCCCATCTGCCGAGGAGAAGATCACGGAGATACCACCTGCGTCCCGGTTCCCCCCCAAAGCGCTGCCAACAGCCTTCCGGCTGAGCCCCTGTAGGGCCGGCAGGCGCCTCCCGGTGCAGCATCCCCGCAGCCCCCCCACCCGACCCCCCAGTCACGAGGGCCGAACTGAGTACAGCCGCGGAAACATTGGGGATGGGGATCGATAGTCGGCTGGATGCGACTCGAACCCTGCAGGATCCGCGCAGCGCGTACTTACGAGGCTGCCGCCAGCCTTGCAGGCAGCCATCCTTAGCCATGCTTGCCAAGCCCGCGCAGCAGCTGCAACGGCAGTGAGCAGCCTCAGTGGAGAGCCACCGATGGCCACCGACTCCCTCATCGTCCCTCCCCCCCACTGGCTGCTTCCAGCGCTCCGCCTCCCCCCGTCCCCTCTCCGCCCAACGTGGCTCACAGGATGAGGGGGCTTCCCCTCGTTGCTCCCGACGGGTGGGCGGGGCTCGTCGCGCGGCCCCCCCCCCAGCCTGACCATGGGACGCAGGGAGTTGGTTTCCCAGGCAGAATGGTGGCCCCAGCGGCCAGGGGAGTGAGGGCTGCCCTGGTGGTAGCGGCCAGAACCTACATCGGTGCAGCCGAATGCGAACAAGCCGACGCTGTCCCCACCCTCCCTGGGCCAGCTGCGCTCGAGCACCTGCGTGACATCCTGGATGTGCGCAGGCGCACATGCGAGGACGCTGATGATGCGAGCCCCCCACCGTCATCCTTCTGACTGACGTCGACGCGAGCCAGTTAGACAGCCCCATCGGAGCCGCCTCGCGCCATGGGGCGTCGTGCACCCTTCTCGCTCTGACCACGGACAGGGCGACCTCGCCAGGGGAGCCAGACCCAGTCAGTCTCGGAGGAGGAGGAGGAGGGTAGAAGAGGAGGAGGGGGAAAGAGGAGGAGTAGGAGGCGGAGGAGGAGGAGGAGGAGGAGGAGGAGGAGGAGGAGGAGGAGGAGGAGGA